TACGGTTCTCCACAAAAGTAGCTATCTCCCCTCGCTGTATCTTGAGAAAAATAAGTGCTAGAAACTTGCTATTGGATATAGTCTACACTAAATGCTGACATAGAAAGCTATTGTAGCTCATTTCATCTTGTCCTTCTTAAGGTTTAATTTTTTTGTCATTAAGTAAGGTTCGTGCCCAGACAGAGTCTGATAACTATCCTATCCTTCTTTCTTTCATTGTTATGTAGCCATACCATACCTGTTGCAAACCTTGTTTTTCTGACTTCACTGGTCGATTTGAGGAGCTTTTAACTATATATTTCAAAGCAGACAGATGCTATTAGGTGTTACATGAATGCATTAGGGAAAATCATGTTTGTTCCTATAGCCTAATAGTCTCTTGATCAAACTTAATTGTGGCAATTCGTTGAAATTCTAGTGTCATCGTTTAAACAACTGGTCGGATACACTGACCAGTTTTATATTTGTTCTCATTTTTTTCGTATACAAAGCATGATCAGATTATTCAAATGGCTAGCAGAATCTCTAATTCTTATAGGAAAACATTAAAGATATTCTTGTTTTTTCCTAATATTCAAGAAGTGTTTAATCGATAATTACGATCATCACAATCGAATCAACTTCTTAAGAGTTAACGTGTATACGGACAACTAGCACACATTGACCACTTCTGTGGTCTATGGTATACTCTCGTCTTTTGTCAGCTACTAAACAAATCAAAATAATCTTACATTGTCATGAGACGTTTCTTCATGTGTTGTTGTTGTACGTTTTATTATTCCATGTACACTAAAACATAGAATAGCTCCTATCCATAATAATAATGAAAAACCACCAAACATTTGTGTACAAAATGTAATCCATCGTGGAGTTGTTTTGGGTGATGATAATACATTTGGACCATCCCGTATTAATATTTCAGCGGCTTTTGAATCACTTAAACCCTATTAGATAAAACAATAACAGAAGCAAAACAACAAATAAAAGTTTGTTTTCTTATCTATAGAAATATACATACTGTATCTGGATCTGTTTCAAGTTTTCTATACAGATCCTCTAATGATAATTTGTGTTCATCCTAAATATTAAAGAAATAATGAATCTATTTGTTGAAATTCCAAATTTGAAAGGAATAATGAGAAAGAGATGTCTCAAAAGGAAACTTGTTCAAAAGTCCGATAGTGTAACATTGTGACTAGTAAAAATGAGACCTATTTAAATAAGGGAACAAAGAGCTGAATTTGCTGTGTATATCCTCTGAATTTACTTCCTGACTCTCTGGTCATGCTGATTTTTTCTTTCCAGATAGAGATTATAACATGACAAAAGCATTGTCTGTTCGACAAACGCGTTAAAATTTGATTGTACTATGTGCTCGAAGAAAAGCCCGAGTAAAACATAGTGGAATCAATCATAGACAACAAAACGGCGACTGGAAAAATGTGGAGCTAGTGCGTACCAGCGCAACATAGCGTGCTGTGCGCACTCATAGTGCCGGCCTGTTTTCAGTACTGTATTGGGATTTTAGTAGGAAAGTTGAACATGTTTCTCATGAGAATCTTATAAGAATAAGTTACGAGTTTTGCTTACTCTTATCAATTTCTTATTAATTCTTGTAAGATTCTTATAAGATTCAACAGAGTTATAACTAAAGGTTTACTGGAATAGTCAAATTCTCATATATGTTGGGTTGTCAGGTCGGATATCAGAGACTGAAACGGATAGGGTTGGGTCCGGTCTTATCAGGTCGGGTTCGGATCAATGTAAAAGATATTGATTCGTGTTGGATCGGGTGAAACTCAAGTGCCGCCATTCACATAAAGAAGAAGAGTGTTACCTCGTCAAAACAAGTATAATGAACAACTTCTATATTGACATTTCCTTTCCAGAATGCTTTGTTGAGGCCATATATTTGGTAAGAATTACTTTTTGACCTCCGCTCAAAAGTGGAGTTCTCACAAACATAAACATGTCATTGGGCCATCAAAATTTGTTCAATCCT